AGTTATTTCAGAGTCATGTGTTGAAATGATGGATTGTTTAAACATAAACACCTCCATGACCCTCGGGCACCACAGTAGGAGCCTACCACAGCTATGAAGGTCCAAGGAGAATTCAGAATTCAATAATAATAAAGTTCAGACCCTGTTTACATGTGCACAATCTTCTGGAAATGTTAGTTTCCGATGTTGATTGTAAAAATGTTACACATTCACACAGCAACACTGTGATATAATCACTGTTTAGATGAGACCAAAGAATGCTGAATCATTGTAGTTTCTGTGCCAGCTGGTGTTGTGATTTTTATCTGAGAAAACMTTTTAGTYACAAACATGAAAACAATGACCTGCCTGTTCAGTATTTGTAGAATGCCAGAAAAGAGTCTCCTCTGATCCAGGAGATGGTGTRGGGAAGGGCTGTTAGCTCTTCTGTAGTACGTCCCATTAATTAACTCTTCATCACCATCTGCAGCAGTGATGTTCCATACTGCCAATTTTCTGTTAGATACTGACACCAAGTAAAACTTGACTGGTATCGACGATACTGATCCGATACTGATACTTTGTGATAACACACATAATGTGTCTGGTAAATCTGTATGAGTAGCGTTTTTCAAACAACCACTTTATAAATAATACATGACAGTAATTTGTTTAATTTAAAAGTATTTATAACCCTAACCTTATATTTTTAGCACAATTTAAAATTCCTATTCTAAAGAAATATAATACATTTTAAATAGTGAATAAAAGTGAGAAAAGCATTTTAAAAGTCATTACTTGTATGTTTTGTAGCATTGTTTTTGGGTTTGCAAGAAGGTCCCTGGCCAGAGCTAATGCTGTTTGGGGGACCAGGGCATGAAAACGTTCAGGAACCCCTCATTTAGAATTTAATTACAGTCAGCTGAAGCAGATTTTATGTTAAAATGACCTGCCATACCATCTACAGATTGAGTGACTGACTGAGCACAGGTCAAGTTTATTACTCAAGTGGAAGAAAAAGTAGTTCCTCTAACCACATGTTTAAGACAAGATGTGAACAGTTTAGTTATTTTCCACCATTTTCCTGTTAATAACATACATTATGTGAAACAACTAAAGTATCAAAGTATTGATATTTTGATTTTAGTATTGATTCTGGAACATAAAGTTCTGGTATCGGTAGTATCGATATTTCAGTATCGATTGGCACATCACTAGTATGCCAGCTCCACTGTGACGGAGGCTAAGCTAAGAAGCTAACAGGAAATCACGTGTGCTGTAAACAACCCTACTGAGAGGAGAAATATACGGAGCTGAACGAGACGACTGTAAATGAGAGCTGCTGCTTTGTCAGATTAATTTATTTTAATTTGAAGTCTTATCAACACAGACTGGCTTCATTCACTTCCTCCACTGCTGTATGCTAAAATAACTAGCAGACACTGGGCAGAAAATCAGTGTCGTTCAAAACTCCTCCTTCTGTTCTCTGATTGGTCCAGATGAAACTAGACACCACATAGCGGTAACATAATGACCCCCGCACGCAAAAATGCACCAGAACTCAGAAGTCTTTATTCCTAATAAATGCCATGCTGCTAGGTGCATGCCAAAATTGTAGTGGTTTGGGTGGAGGTCTTTCTTTTTTTGGGGTGCGGTGGGTGGGGTGGGGGTTGGACCTGATGGATAGCCCCTCATCAGAGCTAAACAATAAAATGAATCTGAAGCTCCTATGTTTAATAGTTTTTGAGCAATATACCCCTTTTTCAGATAAATTGGGGGTCTGGGAGGTATGGGGCACTGATTGGTGGGCCTGATGGATAGAGCTTCATCAGAGCT